CGATTTTTTATTCGATTTTCTGGAATTTGGTTTCTATAAAACTTACCCCACCTCATCATATTACCAGAAACAATATTGTTTCACAAGGTAACGGGTACTTGATTTTGGTTCATAAGGCCGATTTTTGATTCGTTGCATAATTCATGTCTCTTTCCTGCTAAAATTCACTATTTTTATCACGTGTTTCCCAAAAAAACTATACAACAATAAGCTATACACCCCATTACATGTCATGAACCAGTTGGTCCCAATAACTGGAGTTGTTGGGAGAAGGTTCTGCTGGATCTTATACCACTCTCTAACATGCCTCCTCAAACGAAAGCCAACCCATGGGCTTGAAGTTTGCACAGGCCCACCATACCTTGGTCTTTAATCAACTGTTAATATTGGAGGTCTTGGAGATTTGAACACACGTCAATTTGGCCAAACCAGCTCTGATACCATGTCATGAACCAGTTGGTCCCAATAACTCGAGTTGTTGGGAGAAGGTTCTGCTAGATCTTATACCACTCTCTAACATTACATTATCAAATTTCATACCTCACCTTCCTCCGGCCAACTGGCGGGGCCACACTAGTGAACTATGATTTATGAGAGAAGGGTCAAACATGGGAAAGTTGGAAGAGAATGCGAGGAAAATAACGGTTTGTCTAGTAATATTTTTTATGGTTAATAAAAGATTGGCATTAAGCTTCGGGTGATGCAACCACATTAAACTCCTCTCATTGTGTAATATATGCATGTTGACCGGGCATACACACGCTAACCAAGCGAGAAGAAGATGAGATTAAGAAGGGGAAATTGGTCAAATATAGAATTTGAGTGCAAATACCTCATCAATAATACTACTATTTATTCTATAAAAAAATAATACTACTACTTATAATCCATCCAAACGTAATACTTTGTACAATTTTTTTTTTTTTTTTGCATAAAAGGGAGGCCGAGGCCGCAAAGAAAGAAGATTACAGAGAAGAAGCGGGTTGCGTCACAACACGACGCTGAAAAGAAATGCCCATACAATCACTCATAAGGATAGGAGCTAGCGCCGGCGGTGGATCAACAAGTTCATGCATACCCAGGGGATAGACGAGACTGTGCTTCGAGAGCCAGTCCGCGGCTCTATTCCCCTCCCGATACACATGCCCGATGCTGACCAACCAATCCTGCGCCAGACTCCTCCGAATCGAGGCCAACAAGGCGGCATAGGGATGAACAGGATCGTGCCGACTCTTAATCAAAGCGATCGCCAACTGAGAGTCTGACTCCACAAGAACACAAGTGCACCCGGCTTTCCTAGCGAGAAGAAGGCCATGGTAGACAGCCCAAAGCTCTGCAAGCGTAGCTGAGGCTTCACCTACTTTAGAGACAAAACCCCGGATCCACTTACCATGTTCATCCCGAATGATGCCCCCAGCTCCAGCCAGCCCCGGGTTGCCCGCCGAAGCCCCATCCACGTTGAGCTTGACCCATCCATTTCGAGGAAAACTCCAATGAACCTGCGTCTCCACCCTCTCCGGCTTGAATCCCTGTCTGCCGAAATTTACCGTAGGGGCCTCCCACGCCTTATGCCACAAAATAGCCTTTTGCTGAATGGAGAAAGCAAGGGAGGCTAATACTTTGTACAAATACTTTGTACAAATACCACATAACAAATACCATATCCAAATGTCCCATTAATGATCTAGCTTTATATGTCTCCCAAATACGTTGAGGCTAATATGTGATAAATGGTAAAAACATGCATGTTTGATTGGTTGATTCTATTGTTAAATTGTGTTTTTATGCCTATAAAGTATAACTAGGAACAATTAATTTTAGAATGACGTTAGTGTCATTATCATTGTATTTTAATGATCATTTTTACTTTTGGTAAAATAGACAAAAAGAAATACACAAGCAAATTACATATGCAGAGACAAAGTACAGAAATGCATAGGGAAAATATAGAAATAGAACAGACCAAGAATAGACCCAAACCAATTTGGTTTGAACGGATTTCATTAGCCATCCGACAAGAAGAAATCAGCTGCCTTCTTCCGTTGTGGGCCAAATAAATCGAAAGGGCCTGGTTTGTCTTTGACCCATGGGGATACAGTGATAAAAAGATGGGCTGTTTAATTCCTTACAATGGCCAGATCACCTCAGTCCTCAAGTAATGTATTGGGCTGCCCATACAATTGGGAGCAGCAATTAATTAGCAGGAGAGCGGCCTAACCTATTTTATTTTATATATGTTTTGTACGCCTAATACTAATTTTAGTCAAATTACTTAGTAACTTTAGTTTATTACCTCATATTTTAACTATAATAAAATTAAAAATATGTGAGAATCTCATTTTCTTGAATAATTTAATTATATTGATTGTATTATAATTTATTTTCTTGATTTTTTAATAAAAAATGAGCATTTCTAATGTATTTTGTTAAATTACATACTCATATATGTCTACCTTCTCCAACACGCGCCACATGATAAATTACGCGAACAAAACTGAACCAGTCACGGGACGGATATGGATATGGATGACAATTTGAGCCCGCTCCGCCGGGTACACCCGACCTGGCCCGTGATAGGGCAGGTATTACCAACTAGCAGTAGCATGAGACATGACATGAGTATCTACTCTCGTCTCGTCCTACCCGCCCCGTTCTTGGCTCATTCTATCTCAATTTCTTATAATACTTATTCATATTTCTCCTATATTGGTTTTTCTTCAACTAGTTAGACTTGATCTTTCAACTAGTTTGAGCCCTTCTAGTGTGCTCTATAGCACCCATGCTATAAAAAACAAAAAACAAAAAGTGATCTGTTGAGGAGGTAACCCACTAAATGACTGGTCCCACATCATTAATGGCAATCTTGTAAATAATGAATCAATGTATACAAGTGTAGGTACAAATTAGAGTTGTACCATATAGTATAGGTACAAGTTTCAGCTGTACCATTGAAGAATTTGTTTCACAAAGTGTAGGTACAACTTAAAGTTGTACCATTAGTATAGGTACAATTTTTAGTTGTACCATAAAGGGATTTGTTAGAAAGTGTAGGTACAACTTAAATTTGTACCATGGTATAGGTACAAGTTCGGGTTGTACCATAAAAGAATTTTGAGAAAGTGTAGGTACAACTTAAGGTTGTACCATTAGTATAGGTACAATTTTTAGTTGTACCATAAAGGGATTTGTTAGAAAGTGTAGGTACAACTTAAAGTTGTACCATGGTATAGGTACAAGTTTGGGTTGTACCATAGAAGGATTTTAAGGAAGTGTAGGTACAACTTAAAGTTGTACCATGGTATAGGTACAAGTTTAGGTTGTACCATAGAAGGATTTTGAGAAAGTGTAGGTACAACTTAAGGTTGTACCATTAGTATAGGTACAATTTTGAGTTGTACCATAAAGAGATTTATTAGAAAGTGTAGGTACAATTTAAAGTTGTACCATTAGTATAGGTACAATTTTGAGTTGTACCATAAAGGGATTTGTTAGAAAGTGTAGGTACAACTTAAAGTTGTACCATGGTATAGGTACAAGTTTAGGTTGTACCATAAAAGAATTTTGAGAAAGCGTAGGTACAACTTAAGGTTGTACCATTAGTATAGGTACAATTTTTAGTTATACCATAAAGGAATTTGTTAGAAAGTGTAGGTACAACTTAAAGTTGTACCATGGTATAGGTACAAGTTTGGGTTGTACCATAAAAGAATTTTGAGAAAGTGTAGGTACAACTTAAGGTTGTACCATTAGTATAGGTACAATTTTTAGTTGTACCATAAAGGGATTTGTTAGAAAGTGTAGATACAACTTAAAGTTGTACCATGGTATAGGTACAAGTTTGAGTTGTACCATAGAAGGATTTGGAGAAAGTGTAGGTACAACTTAAGGTTGTACCATTAGTATAGGTACAATTTTGAGTTGTACCATAAAGGGATTTATTAGAAAGTGTAGGTACAACTTAAAGTTGTACCATAGTATAGGTACAAGTTTGGGTTGTACCATAGAAAGATTTTTAGAAAGTGTAGGTACAAATTAAAGTTGTACCATTAGTATAGGTACAAGTTTGGGTTGTACCATAAAGGGATTTATTAGAAAGTGTAGGTACAACTTAAAGTTGTACCATGGTATAGGTACAAGTTTGGGTTGTACCATAGAAGGATTTTTAGAAAGTGTAGGTACAAATTAAAGTTGTACCATTAGTATAGGTACAAGTTTGGGTTGTACCATAAAGGGATTTATTAGAAAGTGTAGGTACAACTTAAGGTTGTACCATTAGTATAGGTACAATTTTTAGTTGTACCATAAAGGGATTTGTTAGAAAGTGTAGGTACAACATTAAGTTGTACCATAGTGTATAGGTACAATTGTGAATTGTACCATAGAAGATTTTTAGGAAAGTGTAGGTACAACTTTAAGTTTAGTGTAAAGGTACAACTCTAGAATATGAGATTTTGACGGGCGTGACAATGTCAAGTAGTAGCCGTGAAATTTCCTGGGATAGTGAGAACTGCTCTTTGCATCTCACGGGACATCTCACGGCCGTGATATTTGCCTGAGGAATGAAGCACTGCTTTTTACATCTCACTTGAGTATTTTACGGTCGTGAGATTACCAGTATACGGTGTCAGATTTCCAGTAGGAGACTTTCACCTGTTGAACTATCCCGTGTACTTATTATAATGGTGTTTCAAACAGAATGGACTTTTTTCCAGAACTTCAAACTTATGAAAAAGATGATTCATAATGTTCTCTAAACCTCGACACGAGCATTACAAAGGTCTCTCTCACGGTCTCTCTCACGGCCGTGATATTTCCATCTCACGGCTCCTTATCCCGGGCGGGACATTTTTTAAAATTTAACGGTTCATCTACCGTCCGTGAGATTTGGGTTATGGGGCGTGAGAAATTGAGAGTGGTTTGTGTTATGGGGCGTGAGAAATTGGGAGTGGTTTCCATCTAAGAACAAAAAACAACTATAACTAGATATATCCATCTAGCCACCCACAATTGAAGAGAAGATCAATATTTGATCATTAGAGTTATGGAATACATTGCAATTGATTTGTAGAAAAGAAATTGAACATACATATATAACACAATTTATGTCCTTATTAATTCACCCCATCTCAAGAATTTGTGTAGCAAACTTTTGTCGAACATCCATGCCCATCCCCCTCCCATGAATCCACAACTGCATTCATATTTTCCACACCTAAGAAATCCTGCAGGTCGAGAAAAAAAAAACACATATATACAACACAAAGATCAAATCACTACCATTAAGCACCACCAAGGCTTATACAAATCACACAAACGCAACAATCAGTCAAATTCTAGGCTATCACCAAACCAAGATAATCCAAAGATCCAGTAGAAAAATTAAGAACGACTAAATAAGCAACACTCACTGGTTGACTCAAGCCGCCTAGCAGCCTCCTGTTACACAATGACAACTACTCTTCACCAAGAACTAAGTTGTGAATTGATACACTGATACAGAGAGAGATTACCTTCTTCATTACTGTTTCCTTTTTCCAGGTTTCAACACCCTTTAATAATGCATCCCTCCCACTCAAAACTTCTCTCTATGTATTTCGATCTCTCTGTATTTACAGCATTCTCAATACCAAAAGCCCGGAAACAGCTAAAACACTTTAGTTACTTGGGAGGATGCCATGGAATGTCATGGTAAATTACCCTAAAATGGTTTGCATACTATAATCCCCCAATCAACTGGCATTGGACCTAACATCTGGTCAGCATGTGCTCAAAAGATCTCGTTCCAGCCTTAAGGATTAGCAGATTCTGTCGTGCATATTTAAAATAGAGTTTGGTATTATTGCTCAGCTCTTCATGGATTTGCTACTTTACATACAGAACATAAAATGACATGCTCTAACCAGCTTTAGAAGCAGGTGCAGGTCATAATATTACAGGAACGGACAGAAAAACTTACGGCAAGAGAGGGGCAACAGAAATTGTACCTCCACATGTTTATACAGCTCAGGCAGAGGTAACTTTACAGCATCAAGCATTTTCGGTTTTCCACACTTTGCCGCCAAAGCCCCCATTTCTTTGCAAATTAACTGTACTGCTTCCTGGCTTCATTGACATACAACAGGCAAAGTACTCACTATGGCTGATCCACAACAGGTCATTGAAACGTGGAGATATTAACAATAGTTGTAGTTTTTTTTTTTATGTTATGCACATGTCCTAAAATAAAGAACAAATATTTCCAGCCACATAAGTATACTCTACTTACCCAATTTTTACTGCTTCAAACAACTTCTCCTCTGGTAGAAAATCACAATACCCCTGCAAAAAACAACGCCGATTGAGATTTTCCCCCTGACGCATGTGGCATGTTAAAAAAGTTAATTTCCACATGAGGAAAATAAAACAGCCAGTACATACACTGCTATCCCAGCAGCTGTGACGGCCAATACATCAGGTGGGTGCAAACTATCATAGCTCAAAACCTGTGATAATGAAGGTGCAAACTATCATATTGACTAAATGCTTCTTATGCTAGACAGGAAGCAAATACCTCATGATCTTTTGCTCTTCCCTCTCGTTTAAAAAACCCTCCACTTAAGCCATGCCAGATGGAAAGGGCAAATCAGTTTTCTGAAACAATCTTCCAAACTAACAATGAAAACAACAAAAACACCATATACCTTGTTCGACCTGCAGCTGAAAAACGCTCTTGATAATGTACAGAAAGAGGGAAAAAGTCTGAAGGTTCGCTTGGAACATCATTCAAACAAACAGATGTATAGACAACCTGCGAAGAAAAGTTTGAAAATGGTGTTTGATACCTGAGTTTTTTATGATAACAGACATTCTATGCTTGGCGATTATGAAGAGTAAAATGCTCAATAAAAACCTAAAAGGTACTGCAAAGAAAGCAATAATAAAACGTTCAACCAACTGATCACAAAGCACATTCAAGGCTTAAAGATAATCTATTACATTTCCCCATGATTTCCATGCCTTAAAACATTCAACAGAGCAAGTCGTGCAGCACAGCACAATAATATCTTCTTTCTAGTGTTTTCTAGGGACGTAATGATTCACATTTCTCCGTCTATGACTAGTCCCCTTAAACCATGGATTCCCCCATGATGGAAAAGCATGACCTGAATCAGTAAGTCTCCAGATACGTCCAACCATCACTGTTCAAGCTTGCGTTCAGACATTGAAAATGTTGATTGAGTTTCCGCCCCAGCCATTCAAGTAACAAATGAAAGCAGATTTAAAAAATCTCAGTCCACTACTTACAGTTTCTCCATCAGTCACCATAACAGCACCACTAGCTTGTCTTCCCATATGACCTGTTTCAACCAATATCTGCAAAATTATTACAAGGACACTTTGATAACCTCTCAAAAGCACAATTCAACTAGTTAATCACAACAAATTCTTTAGTTTAAGCCTCAACCTAAGCGAGAAGCAGCTCTACAACTACAATTTCCTTACTAACAGAAAAGTTCAATTCTTAATAGCTTACTTCAAGCTTAATGAATTCAAAGAGTAATAACATTATTGATCACGGAAAGCAATAACCAGAACACAATTTTCTAATACTTCACCTCTCTGTCTCCGTAGGGGATTTTAACAGAAACGTATTGAGGGAAGAACTGCGCTCCATCTACAGCAACCGACTCGGGGAATTGGTGGTCTTCAATGGAAGCTCTAACGCGGGAGAAGCTTTCTGCAGCTTTCCTTGGTACAAGCAGCGATAAGGAGCGGGACCTTGATTTTCTGGGACCAAAGCAACGAGAGCAAGTTGGAAAGTCGAAGCGGCTACTGGAAACCCGAAACGGATAGCTTCGGGGACGAGAAATGCTCCCATGGAGGGTGCCGGTGCTAGGATTTGCCAGCATTCCGCCTTTTCAATTAGGGTTTACAAAACTCTATACAATCGACTCCCCTTTCTCAATCAATCAATTCTCATTCATGATTTCTAACAAAAGAAACGACATCAATGAGTAACAACAGAAAGGAGGATAGCTGGTGCTGGCTGGAGAAGGACCGTAGCCGGCCAACCTCCTCGCCGGTGCCGAAAACGAGTTTCAATAACAGAGACCGCATTAAAAAAAACTTACCTAGAGGAAGATACAGGCAGCACCGCAGCGGAGCAACAGGCGAAGGGAAACTGAGTACCGAAGGCGGCGGCGGAGGATGTTCTCTGGAAGTCGGCGGTGAGAAGAGGGTCTCAGATCTGCTCGGAGAGGAGAAGGATAAGAGAATGGGTTTCGAAAACTTTTTTCACGTACAACCGGTTGTACCGGTTGACCATAAATAAATAAAACAATATATTAATAATCTAAATAAGATCTAATGGCTGATATATTTTGAACATTATCTAATGGCTGTAAACGTTTTATAGCACCAATACTATAAAGCACACTAAAATGCCTCTAGACCCAATTACTCATTCTATTATCACTAGTTTTCATTCACGAACTGTTTGTACTTTATTTTATAGTAAAATGTAGAATTTTGCGTGTATTTTTTTCAAATAACATATAAGAGTCGACTCGTCCCGTTCGTACCCGCGCGAGTATTACCAGTCCCGGCTTTCACTTAATATGGAAAGAGTATAGGTATTGAGATACCTGCCTCGCCCCATTTGTGGCCATCACTAATGAACATCGAAATACGACCTTGCTTGTTGTATTGTCGTTCCTACTGCGCGGGAATAAAGAGGAGTAGAACCTAATTTTGTGTGTAATTTTCAAATAACATATAAGAGTCGACCCGTCCCGTCCACACCTGCGCAGGTATTACAAGTCCTGACTTTCACTTAATATGAAGCGAGTATAGGTATTAAGATACATGCCAAGCCCCATTCGTGGCCATCCTAGATATGACCAACATTGAGAATTTGAATTAATAATTCGTAGCCAACCCCGTAATTTTTTTTTTTTTGCATTACTGGGAGGCCGAGGCCAAGAACAAGAGAGAGATTACAGGGGATTAAGAGGGAAGAGGGGGACGAACCGCAATGCGGCGGTCGAAAGTAGTGCCATGGGCATCATCTCTAAGAATACTCACTAGGCCGGGAGGAGGGTTAGCAAGCTCATGAACACCGTAGGGATAGACGAGACTGTGCTTCGAGAGCCAGTCCGCGACTCTATTCCCTTCTCGATAAACATGAGTGATGCTGACCAACCAATCCCGTCCTAAATTCCTGCGAATACTAGACAGAAGAGTAGCATAAGGGTGAATAGGGTCTTTTCTGTTCTGGATGAGGTTCAGAGCAAGCTGGGAGTCGGTCTCCACTCTGACAGTTCTGTATCCAAGGTCCCAGGCAAGGTTCAGGCCATGATTAATCCCCCAAATCTCTGCATGAGCAGCAGTAGTCTCACCAATGTTGGCAACAAAGCCTCCCAGCCACTTACCCGTAAAGTCTCTGACCGCTCCTCCAGCCCCTGCCGGACCTGGGTTACCATTGGAAGCCCCGTCGACGTTCAGCGTGACCCACCCGACCGGAGGGGGAGACCAACAGATGTTAGCCCACTGGCGCTCCGCTGGTCGCAGACGGTTGTCCGGGAGGAGAGAAGGCGCATGCCAGGCGTCGTGCCAAAGCTTCGTCTTGGTCATGATGGAGTGCTCCAGAGAGGGAGCTGTAAGCGCGACAGCTCTTCCTTGGAGGGAGGCCGTGCACCTGTTCTTCCAAAGAAGCCAAATCGCCATGCTAAAGAAAGCCGGCCAGCTGATGTCACCTGACTTCATTCCTGTCTCCAAGAGGTTCCTGCGTAGCCAAATATCCGAGGTCGCGCTAAAAAATTCCTGCTGGTGCTGGGGTGGAACGTGGCGAGACCAAAAGAAGAGAGCCGGGGCGCAGTCCCTGAGAATGTGAAGGATTGTCTCCGGTTGGCCCGTACACTGCAAACAGAAGGGGTCTGCCGCGATCCTCCTGCTGTACCGGAGGGCGTTAGTCTCGATCTTCCCCAAGAAGATCTGCCACAGGAAGGTTCGAACACGCTCCGGAACTGGGAGGCGCCAGATGATCTTCCAGTATTTCTCGTCGGGGTCAGGTTGCTGCTGCGTGAGAAGAGTGAAAGCAGATTTGGTGGAGAAACGGCCATCGGCAGTGTCCGACCAGAAGAGTCGGTCTTCCTCCTGCGAGAGCTTGTCCACCGCAATGCACAAAATCTTCTGGTAGACATCAAAAGGCAGAAGGTCGCTAAAGAGTTCCGTTCGCCAGCTTCCATCCTCATGGGTAAAGTCAGCAACAGTAGCCTCCTCCTGCTCCAACGAAACTTCTCCTAGCGCCATCTCTCGCAAAGGGACCTGCAAAACCCAAGGATCAAGCCAAAATTTAGTGCCTCTACCATTCTTAATATTCCAAGCACACCCTTTTTTTAGGATGGGTGCAGCTTTCGAGAAGCTGGCCCAGGTAAAGGAACTTCCCTGAACTGGCCGGAGAATGCTGAGACCTTGTCTTTGTCTTCCGTACTTCGCCTGCATGACTTGCGTCCACAGGCTGTCTTTCTCCTGCAAAAGGCGCCAGCCCCCTTTAGCTAGCATGGCAAGGTTAGCCAGCCTCATGGGTCTGAGTCCCACTCCACCCTGGGACTTCGGAGTATTCATATTTTCCCACGCCACAAGGTGCATCTTGCTCTTATCCGGCTCATCCCCTCAGATGAAATCTCTGTTCAACTTGTCAATACTCTTGCAGACTTTACTAGGAATCATCTCGGTTTGCATGTTGTAAACAGGAAGGGAGGCCGCAACCGACTTGGTTAACGTGAGTCTCGCCGCGAAGGACAGACTCTTAGCCTTCCACGGGGCCATCCTTTTTTGGATGCGGAGAATGAGAGATTGGTACCTCTCACTGGAAACCCGCTCCTGAATTGCTTGAATGCCAAGATACCGTCCCAAAGCCGCCTTGAGAGGTATGCCCGCGTGCTGGCTCAATCTCGAAGCCCTGCGCCGATTTATATTAGGAGAAACATATAAAATCGACTTCTCATAGTTAACCTTCTGACCCGAGCTAGAACAAAAATCCTCCAAGCATCTTTTCACCACCTGGATCTGCCTAGTTTCCGCCTCCGCAAAAAGGAGAAGATCATCTGCAAAGAAAAGATGTGTAAGGGGTGGACCATTAGCAGAAAGTTTGATCTCTTTCCATTGGCCACCATTCACTGCCTCATCAATCTTGTGAGATAATCGTTCCATGCAAAGGACGAAAAGATAAGGGGAAAGAGGGTCTCCTTGACGAACACCGCGAGAAGGTGAGATTGGCTGGGAAAGTTCGCCATTCCAGAGGATGCGCATCCTGTTTTGTTCAACACAGGTCATAATGCAGTTGATCCAGGTACTAGGGAGGCCAACCTCCTTAAGTCAGTATCTCTCAGAAAGTCCCATCTCAGCCTGTCATAGGCCTTCTCCAGATCAATCTTGAAAATCAAACCTCCCTTCTTGCCTCTCTTCTTTTCCAGGGTATGGAGGACTTCCTGGGTCACGATGATATTATCGGTCGTCTGCCTGCCCGGAATGAAGCTGCTCTGCCTTGGTGACACCAGTTTCTTCATAATGGGTTTCAATCTGCTAGTCATAACTTTGGTGATAGCCTTGAGACTGACATTATTAAGAGAGATTGGCCGCAGATGGGTGACTTTCTCCGGAATGTCAATCTTTGGGATTAACACCAAGGTAGAGTCTGTGATGGCATCCGGGAGAAAACCTGTAGAAAAGAAAGATAAAGCCAAATCCGCTAGATTTTTCCCAACAATGTCCCACATTTGCTGATAGAAGACCGCATGGTAGCCATCCGGCCCGGGAGCTTGAAATGGCTTCATCTCAAATATTGCTCTGTGAATGTCCTGAATGGTGAAGGGACGAAGCAGGAGCATGGTCTCCGACTGGCTTAGCTGCAGGAAGGCCTGCTTGGGCAATTTATCATCATAGGGAACTTCCTCCTGCAGGAAAAGGTTAGAAACAAAATAAAAAACAAGCGAGGCCAAGGTTTGAGGTTCCGTCACCCAGTTATCATTGGCATCTTGGAGCGCTTCGATTTTATTCTTCCGCCTTCTGATGTTGACAAGCTGGTGGAAATAAGCAGTATTACGCTCCCCAAATTTCACCCACTTCTCTCGAGAACGCTGGAACCAAAGCATCTCCTCCTGTTCAAGAATCGTGTCCAGCTCCCCTTCAAGCTTTGAATGAAGTTTGGCTAGCCCAGGCGTAAAAGAATCCATCAACCTGGAGTCGACCCCTCTCATTCTAGCAAGCAGCCGCCTCTTCTTCTTTTGAATACTTCCAAAAACGTTATAGTTCCAATCTTGTAACTTAGCAGCAAGGCTAGCAATAGAGTTGTGGAAAGGGTTGTTGGGATCCCAAGAAGCCGCCACCTGCTCTTTCAGACTGGAATCCGTTAGCCACGCCGCCTCAAATCTGAAGGGACGATTACTGCTTGCATTTCCACTCGGAGGAGAGACGGAGGTCAAGAGAGGAGTATGGTCCGAGTGGAGTCTGGGGAGGTGAAGGACCGAAGTGTCTGGGAAGGCCTCGTTCCAGTGTAAATTGCAAAGACTTCTATCCAGTCTGCTAGCCTTGAAAGTATGAGGTTGATCTCCCCTGGTCCAAGTAAATTTCGATCCAGAGAAGCCCAAATCGATTAGCTCAGCTTGGTTAATCCTGTCGTTGAAGGTGCGGCATCTCCTCACAGTAGCTGTCGTCGGCGACCCTGACTTTTCCTCCATACTGCGAATGGCATTAAAATCCCCGGAGATGAGCCAAGGGATATCAATCCATCTGCTCTGATGAATGAGATTATCCCAGAGGAATCGCTGGTCACTGGGCCGAGGGGAAGCATATACAGCAGTTAGAACCCAAGGTTGCTTGTTCATTTCCTCAATACGCAGGGAGATATGTTGATCGCAAGCAGAAATAAGATGCGTCGAAAAGCGGCGGGCATCCCAAAACACCCAAACACCTCCACTCCTGCCATTAGCTTCAACACGGATGGAATTCGGATATCCCAGCTTGTCACAGGCCGCATTCGCCGCCGTCCCGCTGATCTGAGGTTCCAAAAGGATCACAAAATCGGGTCGGTGAGCCTGAATTGCTAGCTGGGATATTTCCATAGATAATATTTTCCATTAATCTCTTATTTCCATAGATAATCATTTCCATTAATCATATTGCCAAAGAATTTCGCACATGGAACCATCTCTAATTCAGCAATCAATTATG